CTCAACAACAGATAAACCAGAGGAAACGCTGCTACTTAACAGCAGATTAACTACAGGGAAAGTTACCACTCAACAACAGATAAACCAGAGGAAACGCTGCTACTTAACAGCAGATTAACTACAGGGAAAGTTACCACTCAACAACAGATAAACCAGAGGAAACGCTGCTACTTAACAGCAGATAAACTAGAGGGAAAGTTACCACTCAACAACAGATAACCTAGAGGAAACGCTGCTACTTAACAGCAGATAAACTAGAGGGAAAGCTGCTACTTAACAGCAGATAAACTACAGGGAAAGTTACCACTCAACAACAGATAAACTAGAGGGAAAGCTGCTACTTAACAGCAGATGAACTACAGGGAAAGTTACCACTCAACAACAGATAAACCAGAGGAAACGCTGCTACTTAACAGCAGATAAACTACAGGGAAAGCTGCTACTTAACAGCAGATAAACTAGAGGAAACGCTGCTATTTAACAGCAGATAAACTACAGGGAAAGTTACCACTCAACAACAGATAAACTACAGGGAAAGTTACCACTCAACAACAGATAAACTAGAGGAAACGCTGCTATTTAACAACAGATGAACTACAGGGAAAGTTGCTACTCAACAGGAGATAAACTAAAGGAAAAGCGATTTCACAACAGCACCCACTGCCAATACTTGGGCTACTCTTTTCTAACATAACAACGGGATTTGACTGTTAGTGTTATAACGCACCCACAATCCCAAACTGTAGAGCGCGTATTAGCGATAACGGGACACGAGCCATGAACTCTCAGATCAACAGTCTATTACTGTAGCCATTAACCACGCCCGGATGTGATAGAAGGTTAAACAAAATCGTTTTCTTGTTAGAGAGTGTGATTATTCAGCCATCTTAGTTAATAAACATAACGGTCAAGGACTTTAACTTGGATTTGTCGAGAATAATAATATTTCGAAGTACTAACGGGAATTGACGTCGGTTAAGACTTTTCTGAATCAGTAATATAGTAATAAATTTTATATAAAACAGTTAGTAAAAGCTCTTCATTTCCTTCCACCATCAATAACTTGTATGTCTATATACACATCTGTCAATAATATAGCAGTTGTCATGGTAACTTTGTTCTGATAAAACGTATGCGATTTTCAGTTATGGCACATCAAAAAGCCGAATCTTCTACTGTTGAATTTCTGCTATAAAGTTCGATCGATGTGAACAATATCTCTTAATTATTCTATGCACAGAACCGTCTACTCAACCATAAATACACAAAATATTATATTGGTAATGAATTGAAAGTTGGTAACGAAGCAAACACAATAAAATAAGCACATTTGGTGAAAACATGCAAAAAGGAAATATACAAACACAATAATATAAAATAAACACATTTTGTGAAAACGTGTAAAAAAAGTAAATTTACAAACACAATAATATAAAATAAACACATTTCGTGAAAACGTGTAAAAAAGGAAATATACAAACACAATAATATAAAATAAACACATTTTGTGAAAACGTGTAAAAAAGTAAATTTACAAACACAATAATATAAAATAAACACATTTTGTGAAAACGTGTAAAAAAGGAAATATACAAACACAATAAATAGATTCAGTATCAGGTATTGATGTGCCTGAAATGCTTCAGAAACTTGTCCTAGTCTTCCATCAACGTGTCTCTAAATCTCAGAGGAGTGATTTATTTGGCTTTGGTCATGAGGATCCATGCTTTCAACCAAAAGTTCTGTTCTCCTGATTATCACTGATTGAGAAGAACTCAATAGCGTCAGGACTGCAGCTTAGGAATATTCAGGTGGCCCACTGTTGTGAGGATCCTGAACTAAGAATGGAAGTATGCTTGGCTGTTCGTCTATAAACTCTATAAAACCCCACACTCTTTAATGGATCACTTTGACATCAGCAGTATATCTTGCAGCTCATGGATAGTCACCATTGCCTCATGTTTCACTATACATTCCGTATCTTCCCTGTTGGCTAGAGGCCTCCAATCTTTTTATATTACTGTGGAGTTTCATTTGGAGCTGAGGAGCAACTATTCTGGTTGCCATTGGTCTGAAAAGGCTGTTAAAACCTCCCCAGACAGTCTCAAACTCTCCAGATGACACAACCCCCTGGTGGCCCTCGGACAATGTTCTACTCTCACCAAGGCCCATTCTCTATGGGAAATCTCTAAATATTAATTATATAGGCGTACTTCCTCCTGAGTTGTGGGATTAAGTGAAATCGCACTCATGGACCTTTGAAGCAATGGTAATAGTCCAACTTCCAAGAGAGGACTTCTTCTAAATGCAACTACTCTCTCATACGATCATTTTCCTCTGGTGATAATCTCCTTCTTAATGTTGAAAATGCCACATTCTCAAACAAATGAGTCTTTTTTAATTAAATGATAATCAAATATTTCAAGCTAAGGGCGGTACGCACTTCAATAGCTATCAGGAAAGTCCACACTAACCAATACCCTGTATTCATGGTACTAATGTTTTTGTTTTTTATCCACTTTGTGGTATAATTATAACTGAATTTACTTGAGAGCTGTATTAGATAAGTCTGCTAAACAAGAAATGTGCTCAAGATATGATACAAATATCTGATTAAGTTTTAGCTAAGAAATAAACAGACTGAACATTATGTATAATACAAATGTAAACAATATTTATTTATTAAGAAAAACAAAATCTGTGAACTTACATACATGATGATTCACAGCCACTTCTTTGAGATGTTTCTATAACAACAAACTTTCTAATGCAAATTTTCTTAGATTTGAGGAAACCTTGCAATTATTCAGCACGGCACGTTTACAATACGACTATTCGTCCTCATTACACATAGGTGGGGCATAATATATAGATATACCCCACGACTATCAACTTCCTGATACAAGGCCTCTTTAAAGCAATATTTTCCACAGGCAGTAATAGGTATTACCAACGTCGAAAATGAGAAAAGAACAAAGTTAACTTGAAGAAAAATCAACTTAATGGTTTTCATGACTGATGATATAAACCCTGCACATATTCAGAACAAAGAACAAATTCGGAATAAAATAATAGTACTACAGAAAAATAGAAATCTATGTTATATTCCAATACCACATGTTATCCTGAACCTGTTGCATTCTTGGTAAAAACTGACAGCTTTTTCTACCTTGCTGCTCATCTAAGTAGGGGAAGTTCCATAGCTGAAACCCATGCTTCACTCCTCCCTTGCAGGATGATAGAGTCACTGCAGCTGCTACTATAGGTATCTCTGTCTATTGGAACTATTATCAATTCATACATATCATGACAGAAACTGCGTCAGTAAGAGAGAGAAGATATTCTATACCCAGGTAATTGGTATCTTCATGATGTTCTGAAGCTATTGCGGGGTTGGGTTTACTATACAACTAGTGCAATTCATTCACAAAAAATTATCAAGTTTTTTGTTTTGTTTTTCCAGTGGTACTCTTCTTTCGAGCCGGATGGATTGTTATTTTTTCCATTATGTCGAACCTCAGGACATCACTTGGTAATGACTGTCTTACAGTCCCATAATTGCTCTTCATTCAAACTCAATGGAGTCTAGGATCAAACTGTCTAAACTCAAAACCAGACCTTGTAGCTGCTTGTTTTAGAGCTCAGCCATTCCATGGAAAGATCCAGGAAATATTCTAAATCTTCCTTTTCTGTGCCTTTAAATGTTGATGGAATGATCTGTTTTACTTTGCTTCCCGACTTCCATGTTATCACCTGACCGAGACATCCTTACCATCATTCTCAGAGCATGGTAGGGGATCTCAGGACCTCGGAACTCTGACGAGTGGTAAACCCTGATCCAAGTTTACAGAATAGCGAGGTGCTTTATGTACCTCTACTGGACCTCAAGTTCCATTGTAGAGTATGTTTATGTTATCAGGATACTCCTGGTTCCGTAAGATTCACCACTGATCTATGCTCAACGCAGCTTGCATACCATAATTTAAGCTAGCATTCTATAGGGAAAGAAGTTAGCCAACTTTTGTCTTATTGAATAGCAAGACTTCACTGTTAACTCTTATAACATTTCACACCAGTAACTCACTGGTAAGTGTAAGGGCTAACACCGCAAAAAAATGAGTTTTGATACTCGTAGTGGGAACAGCACAGATAGTCCATAGTGCAGCAGCAGCAGCAACAACAACAACAACAAACACCTTTGACTCTAAAGTGAGGAGCGCGTTTTTGGTGGAAACGGGTCATGAATTTTGAAATCACAGACTGATGATACAGACACGTTAACTCTTGGCCATGCCCGACCCTTGCCAAACCAAATAATTCTTGTGACTCTTTTGGGAAAAGGTGCCCGGCATGGCCAGGTGGATAAGGCGCTCGACTCACAATCTGAGGGTCGCGGGTTCGAATCAGCATCCCACCAAACATGCTCGCCCTTTCAGCCGTGGGGGTGTTATAATGTGACGGTCAATCCCACTATTCGTTGGTAAAAGAGTAGCCCAAGAGTTGGCGGTGGGTGGTGATGACTAGCTGCCTTACATTGCTAAATTAGGGACGGCTAGCGCAGATAGCCCTCGTGTAGCTTTGCGCGAAATTCCAAAAACAAACAAAAAACAAACTTTTGGGAAAAGTTTCTAAAACAAAGACAACTAAGTTTGTTTATATTTTTGTATGTTATTTAGAACGATTTTTACAACGATGAAACTATAGCTTGTGTTCACTATAGAAATCTAGCGTTGTTCTGAGTTTCAGATGTGGTAAAAGTTTCCACGATACGTTTTAGAAAACATTTGCTTGAAATATTAATGGCGAAAAATTGTTAGTGATGATTAAATCTTAGGCTTTTTTGGCTAGCATCTTATCATAGAAACATTGCTTTTATTGCTACTAATTATTACTTATAAGCGTATATATTTAAAATATTCGCCGATATACGTTTGAAAAAAAAGGCGATACACCACTATTCAAATAATATTTAACGCATGCGCTCTTCATGTGTTTAGTTTGAGATTCCATTCAGAAAAATTGTGCCGTACTGTTTAGGGTTTAACAGAGCCACCGGAATTGAAATGTCAGTTAATACCATGAACTCGTAAACTAATAATTTTGTAATTTATATAATATTATGTAAACAGTTAAACGAAATTCCAGTATGTCTCTATAAAAATAATAGTATAATATTAATAGTAACACGAAAACGTATGTCAAGTTGTCACAATGACATTGTTTATATTAGTAAATAGTAATACTACTAGTAGTACTACTAACGTGTTAATTAATGTATGTAAAATATTGTTATTTATTGCTATGACAATGAGTATCACTATTATTATTAGTGTTAATATTATTGTTAATTTATAAGATGTAAAACTGGACGTTATGATTTAATTTTACATTGTAACTAGTAATGTTATAATACAAGTTGTGGCACTATTATGATTTATAATACTTCTGAAAATATGCATTAGTTATATTTTATACGTATTAATATTATTGTAATTTTGTATTTTGATAGGCAGTGCAAGTAAATAATGTATGAAAAGTTAGTTGAAAATTCAGTGTCTGTTCTGCTTTTTTCTTCATCATATTGAAGAAACAAAAGTAGAGTAATTTTGTGCTACCTTATACCAGTTATAGTCTTTAAATTTAAGCTTAAACTTTGCAAATTCTTATGTTAAGTCTATCCTATTGATGAGGTTCTTTCACCTTGAAGTTAAATACTGATGTTTAAAGAATAATAGAAACACAAAAGTAGTTGAATTCTGACTCTTCACTGTTGACATATTGTTAGCCAAGTCCTAGGTTTTCGACATTGAATGTGTCTCTGTGAAAGGTGGATGAACATATCTAGGGTGCTTAAATGACTTTAAATAACATCTGTGTCATTAAATTACTCACACTCTCACATGCAATAATGTGAGTTATTGAGAGAATTATTTCCAAATCTATTATAGATTTTTTGTTATAACAAAAAACTCTCCAGACAAGCATATTTTTGCCTGGATGGTGTACTTAAATAACACAAAATGCCACGTCATTTAATTACTCCATCTTTTCTCTGTAATAATCAGAGAAAATTGTTTCTTTATTTATAGTTTTTCATAATATCACAAAGAGTAACTTGCCTGACCAGATGGGACAGTTATTTAACCCTTGAATGACAACTTTTATATCTCACTTGATTACTCCAGTTATCATCCACTCTAATGATTAGGAGTATTTACAGGTATATTGTATTTTCTGTACTGTTTTGAACAATTTTAGGTTTTTTTATGAAACACCGGTTTCACATCAATGTAGAGTACCCTGAAATTGCATCTGACAAAAATTTTACTAAATTGCCTAGTAACAGGGTGGGGGTTGGAGTTGTGAAAGTGGCAAATGGAGTCGTTCATTGACCAGGCTAATATAATCCTTTTTTAGTTTTGGAAACACTACATCTTCAATGACTCAAGATAGTTCCCAGACTATCCATCTTCACACAGTCTTCAACTTGTCATCAGAGAAAGGCACAACACATCCTCTACATAATATGTGTATAGAGATTACAGACAGACAGACATGAACACTGCAGTTCCAAGAGTCCACCTGAGGTGGAAGATAGTATAATTCATGAATTGTCCATTCATTCCAATTGGTCATCCTCTTCTACCTCTTTTAATGATGATGATGTTACTTTATGTGATATCTTGGCAGAAGTTTAAAAGTTGCTCAGACATTGAACAGAGATGTACATTATTTAAGATTTATTATGAGATCCTAACCTAAAGTGAAGTGTTTATTATTTGACTAATATTTAATTTCTATGACTAGAAATTGCTGCATTAGATAAAGATTATAAAACAAGATCTGTGGCAAGCCAGTCAGTTGCATGAATTTTAGGTCACTTAATAGTAAGTTAGGAATTTAAAGGTGTATCTAATGTGGCTTTATTATTAGAATCTAAATTTAAATGTAGTTATAGATAGACATACTTTTTTGGTAAGTTATTTCAGAATCTTGCTTTTTATCAATATTCACCACTTTTTGTAGATTAGATTTTTTAATCTGAACAGTGATTTTTTTCTGTCTTCTTACAAAAATATATTTATCCACACAAAAACATTGCAGTACTGTAGAAATTTATATTGAAATATCTTTCCATTAACTTCAAAGTAGGTTTCATCATGATTATGTGAATAATGAAAGAAATTTTTACTTATTTTAGAATTTTTTTTTAGAAATAAATGAAGAAACTTGGAATGTTGCACCTGTTAGTTAATAACTGAACCAAAAACATTGAACCAGAGTTTTGTAACAATCCGTCCATTACTACCACAAAGAAAGATGCCAAGCGGTGACAGTAGGAAAGATTTTATTTTAACATCTATAGGGGATTTTTTCTCCCTGTCGATGGATGAAAACACATTGAATCAACTTTTTAATGCTAAAGAGTTGAATAATTTTTTAGATGAACAAGATTGTCATATTTTAAGTACACAAGTAGAGGGACAGAAGGATGAAAAAGAAATATATTTCATGAATAAGGTAAGAAGAACATAAACTATTTTGTTTGTTTTTTGACATTTAAATGAAGTAACCTATTCTTGGTAAAGTTTTTCTCCTTGTCTGATATATGGTGTTATCTCCATCAGAAAGTTTTGAAAGTAATTGTATTAGTACAGATGTAAGACATTGGACTTTGACCTCTGTTTACACTTGAAAATAAGCAAATATATAGGAAGAGGACAACAATTTTTGTTTTATGTTCTAATTATCAGTAGTTTAGCCTGCATGGATCTTTTTAAAGTTTGCTATAATTAACAAATTAGCCTTTAAAACAGCATGTTTAAGACTGATCTTCACAAATACAATGAATGGAGACAATTAGAGCAAAAATTAAATACAATGAAAGTAAAAAAGGTTTACTAGACAATTTATCGAACTAAAGGAATAATGACATAACATAGGAATAGAAGGGGATCATTTGGTCTTTCAAAGGTGTCCCTACATACACCCCCTCAAGAAAATGAAACCCATCCTTTATTTTCAGGAAATCATTGATTCCCTTCTTAAACTCTTGTAAGATGCTATCCTCCACCATTGTATAATGCTAGCCTCTACCATTGTATGATACTATCCTCCACCATTGTATGATGCTAGCCTCTACCATTGTATGATACTATCCTCTACCATTGTATGATGCTAGCCTCCACCATTGTACGATACTATCCTCTACCATTGTACGATGCTAGCCTCCACTATTGTACAATGCTATCCTCCACCATTGTATGATACTATCCTCCACCATTGTATGATGTTAGCCTCTACCATTGTATGATGCTAGCCTCCACCATTGTATGATACTATCCTCCACCATTGTATGATACTATCCTCCACCATTGTATGATGCTAGCCTCCACTATTGTATGATGCTAGCCTCCACTATTGTACGATGCTAGCCTCCACCAATGTAAGATGCTAGCCTCCACCAATGTAAGATGCTAGTCTCCACTATTGTACGATGCTAGCCTCCACTATTGTATGATGCTACACCTCTGTAAGATGCTATCCTCCACCATTGATGATGCTAGCCTCCACCATTGTACGATGCTAGCTTCCTCCTCTGTAAGATGCTATCCTCCACCATTGTACAATGCTAGCTTCTACCTCTGTAAGATGCTATCCTCCACCATTGATGATGACAACTTATTCCACAATATAATCTCCATGTTAGGAAAATAAAGCTGTGTTAGTAGGAGTTTGGTCTGATAGTCTAACAAATCTTAAACTTGGTTCTCTTGTCAGAATTCAACACAAACAGTCAGAGACCATTTCAATCCCTCTGACCACTTAGTATATGGAGTTAGGATTACCTTAATCTTCTAAGCTTGCTGAACCTTACTGGGGTTATACATACAGCAAGACTTGTCAAATAATGCTTAATTAGTTGATATTTATTTCTGAGCTGTGTATGTAGCTTGGTTTGATCAGAACCTAAATGAATTTCCTTATAATTACTATAATTAAAGGTAATTAGCCGAGTGTTTGTTCAGCTCCTATACAAGAACTTAATGTCATCAGCAGGCTGTACTAATTTACTAATTATGCCTCTATCAGTATCACTTGTGTAAGAAAGAAAAAGCAAAGGCCCAAGCACTGACCTCTGAGGAATACCGCAAGGAACAAAGGTTCAGTTTGACTGTATTCCATTAGTAATATTTTTTGTGACTCCTGAGGCATACCACAAGGAACAAAGGTTCAGTTTGACTGTATTCTATTAGTCACATTTTTTATGACTCCCGAGTCATACCACAAGGAACAAAGATCCAGTTTGATTGTATTCCATTAGTAACATTTTTTGTGATCTCTGAGGAATACCATAAGGAACAAAGGTTCAGTTTGACTGTATTCCATTAGTCACATTTTTTGTGACCCCTGAGGAATACCACAAGGAACAAAGGTTCAGTTTGACTGTATTCCATTAGTAACATTTTTTGTGACCCCTGAGGAATACCACAAGGAACAAAGGTTCAGTATGACTGTATTCCATTAGTAATATTTTTTTCTTTCTCTCACCCAATCTATTTTTAGTACAGTTAACTAGTCTTCTTCCGACTCCCACCAAGGTGGTTTTATCAGCTAATCATGTCTGACACGTTATCCTGCCTTAACATATGGCCATCTCCTGCTATCCCTGTTTGTGGTAACCATTGCATAGTCTATCAGTTCGATACTTTTTCTCCTACACAACTCCTGATCCTTCCCTCCTGATCTCTTCTAGTTGAGTATGAGAACCCTTACTCCTTCAGTACCAAGTGTAATCTCACTGTCATGAGACTAAGTGGATGAACTCTTTGACTGGAAGTAGTGCAGAGGTGTCTACCTGTAAGTGTAGTATAGGCTGCCCCTTACTCCTTCAGTACCAAGTGTAATCTCACTGTCATGAGACAAAGTGGATGAACTCTTTGACTGGAAGTAGTGCAGAGGTGTCTACCTGTAAGTGTAGTATAGGCTGCTCTTAATATTAAGAACAAGACCATTTCAAGAGGTTGAGATATGCCAGATGGGTCTTGAGTTCTCCTTGGGATGCAGGTCTGGGGTGATTTATCCCTGCACATGCATATTCTGGTAAATACATCATGTGAGTATTTCTTACATATTGTACAGCTTGACTTGTTGCCCTAACTACACTACATGTAAGTGGTCTGCTGAACCCCTGAGATCTCCTAATTGTTTGAGCAGCCTTTACATTGTTAGTCCATTCCCTCAACAATATAACTATGATATCCACTCCGTTCATCAGCCACATCTCTGAAACTGTTAGTCCATTCTCTCAACTATACAACTATGATACTCAATCCGTTCCTCAGCCACATCTCTGAAATTGTTAGTCCATTCCCTCAACTATACAACTATGATACTCACTCTGTTCCTCAGCCACATCTCTGAAACTGTTAGTCCATTCCCTCAACTATACAACTATGATACTCACTCCATTGCTCAGCCACATCATTATGAAATTATCAGTCCATTTGGCAGCTGTACCACTATGAAATTTCTAGGCCATTTCTCAACTATAATACTCTCAAGCTATAAGTCTATCCTTTAGCTACAGACTACATAACAGCAAGTCTATCCCTTAGCTACAGACTATATAACAACAAGTCCATTCCTCAGCTACACAGTTATGAAACAATCAATCTATCCATTAGCTACACCACTATAACACTAAGTCCATTCCTCAGATTCACTGCTATGAAATGATAAGCTCATTACCTGCAAATTATTACTGATTTACTTGTAAGTTGAATTTTAAAATTTTTAGTTAAATATAAAAGAAAAGTATTAGATACATGAAATACTATATTTTAACGGCTTTCATTTTGTGCATTGGTTGATTTTAAATTACATAATATTTTCTTGAATGATTGATTTTCCTTACAACTTGATTTTGTACTTGTGTTTGTCAAATGTATGTGTATTATGAAAGAAATTTTATTTGTAATTTAGGTTGAACCTAAAGGAACAGATGATCGAATTTTAATCTTCTTCAAAATCCGACCAGATGTGATCACACCAGACAATTTACATTCCAATATTTTCATCACTTCAATGATAGACTCTCCCATAACAGCTCTTTATCACTCAGTCCAGAAGATATTTGCTCCTGTACTTTTAAAAAATGAACGCTGGAGTCCGAGTTTTAATCCTAAACTTCAGAGTCTGCTTGGTGAACTTGAAGCAGGTCTTGGCAGTATGGTGAGAAAGAGTGACAAAGCTGATCTTGAAGTTGGTGAAAGAGAAGAAAATAACTTAGCAGGTACTTGTTTCTGTGGTTAACTTGTCAGTTATTATGGTACATGTATGGTGCCTTATGGTTAACTTGTCTGTTATTATGGTACATGTATGCTGCCTTATGGTTAATTATCAGTTAATATGGTACATGTATGCTGTCTTATGGTTAACTTGTCAGTTATTATGGTACATGTATGCTGCCTTATGGTTAACTTGTCTGTTATTATGGTACATGTATGCTGCCTTGTGGTTAACTTGTCAGTCATTATGGTACATGTATGCTGTCTTATGGTTAATTATCAGTTATTATGGTACATGTATGCTGTCTTATGGTTAACTTGTCAGTTATTATGGTACATGTATGCTGCCTTATGGTTAACTTGTCAGTCATTATGGTACATGTATGCTGCCTTATGGTTAACTTGTCAGTTATTATGGTACATGTATGGTGCCTTATGGTTAACTTGTCAGTCATGATGGTACATGTATGCTGCCTTATGGTTAATTATCAGTTATTATGGTACATGTAAGCTGTTCTAAAATAGGAAACAACACCAGCTGACTTGACACAACTGTTAGGACAGTCAGAAATACACTTAAAGTAGGAAGCAATACCCACTGACCTGGCACCACTGTTTGGACAGTCAAAAATACACCTAAAGTAGGAAGAAACACCAGCTGACCTGACACCATTGTTTGGACAGTCATAAATACACCTTAAGTAGGAAGCAACACCAGCTGACCTGGCACCACTGTTTGGACCGTCAAAAATACACCTAAAGTAGGAAGCAACACCAGCTGACCTTAGACCATTGTTTGGACAGCCAAGAATATACCTAACTGTTCCATGATTGTAAAAAACACAGTCAGGATAAAAAATGCTTGGTAATTAAGAAATACATTTTATGTAGTTTGTATAATGTAGTTATTTTCATGTTTGGTATAAGAAATACATTTTATGTAGTTTGTATAATGTAGTTATTTTCATGTTTGGTAATTAAGAAATACATTTTATGTAGTTTGTATAATGTAGTTTTTTTTCATTCTGATCATCCCATAATTTAGAAAAGGATGCCAACAAACTTAATATATTCAGAAACATACTGACCAGAAAGTTTTGATGGTGTTTGAGTGAAGAGATTCCAACCTCTGACTATGAAAAAGTTTAGGTGGTCTCTTTGTGAAAAGATGGGGTGCTAGTTCCATTCTCTCTCTTCCCTCATAAATAGTTTTGATTATTTTTGTGTGAGTGGATGGTGTTGTATTTCAATTTTTATCTCTTCGTCTGAAAGGTTTTGGTAGTCTTTGTGTGAAATGAGGGTACCTCTCAGTAAAAGGTCTGCCTATACAGTTTGGGATCCAAACATCTACTCGTATGCTTGCTACATGTGATGAGAAGATTGTTATGCCTGGGTCACCATAACAAATTACTTTTGGTTTTAGAAACCTGTAGATGGAAGACTCTCAGGTAGCTCATTTAGGTTTAGTCAGTTGGTAAATTGTGGCTAAGTTCAAGTGATTGCCAGCAGTGGATGGTTGGATTGGTGCTTGTGGTATTTGAGTACAGTGCCCACAAAACCATGGCATTGCTGCATTTTCTTTGATATGAGGTTGATAATTTAATGATATAGGAAGTTCCTTTGTATGGTGAGTGGGGTCAGTTAACATTGAACTTTTCTCTTTTCTTCATGGATGTTAAAAATCACAAGATCAGACTAACCATCAAGAAACCTACATACTGATGACAGTAGAAGTATAGTTATCACCTTCTGTTCCTGCACTATGATTGCTAATACTCCAATCTCTATAATAAGCATCACTGGGGAAGATATCTCCTTTTTTTATACAGAAGGGATTAGTGGGGCTTGTTGGTTCTCTATGATGTGGAAATTTACTTGTTAAAGTACGTGTCCACAGATCAGTGAACTTGTCTTGAAAGGAAAGCCATTGGGGAAAATGTACATCACTGTGTGCCTGTTATCTTCACTTGCATCTGGAATGTTTTAGTTGTTTCTGTCTGAAGAGATGGTGTGTCAGTTCCATTTTTTCTCCAGATGGTGTGTCAGTTCCATTCGGTCCCCAGATAGTGTATAAGCTACATTCTGTCCCCAGATGGTGTGTCAGTTCCATTCTTTCCCCAGATGATGTGTCAGTTCCATTCTTTCCCCAGATGATGTGTCAGTTCCATTCTTTCCCCAGATGATGTGTCAGTTCCATTCTTTCCCCAGATGATGTATCAGTTTCATTCTTTCCCCAGATGGTGTGTCAGTTCCATTCTTTCCCCAGATGGTGTGTCAGTTTCATTTTTTCACAGATGATGTATCAGTTTCATTCTTTCCCCAGATGGTGTGTCAGTTTCATTTTTTCCCAGACAGTATGTCAGTTCCATTATTTCCCCAGATGGTGTATCAGTTCTATTTTGTCTCATATGAAACAATTTTGGTTCTTATTTTTATGAGTACATTTTGAGTTCTGTGGTGTCATGACTCAATTTTAGGAAGTTGATTTCTTTACTTTTTTTGAATCAATATTTCTTTCCTGTTTTTCTAAGCTGGAGTTTAAAAACCTATTGATCCATCCATCTATTGAGTTGTCATATGGACCAGATAGTTTTGTGCATGTATATTGTTTATAGCAGAATGTGAGTTGTGAGACAGTAATGCTTTGAAGCTAGTATTTACATTGTGTCCAACCATAAAGCATGACTTGTTGTGGTTCTTGGAGAGAGCTAGTATTTACATTGGGTCCAACCATAAAGCATGACTTGTTGTGGTTCTTGGAGAGAGCTAGTATTTACATTGTGTCCAACCATAAAGCATGACTTGTTGTGGTTCTTGGAGAGACGGTAACTATGTTTGAGAAGCACTATTACAATACTTATTGAAGTGCTATTATATACTGTAATATCTTCAGTTTAATTGATGCAGAGAACACTTCACTTCGTGGGGGCTGCAAGAGTCTTGAGTCTGAACTTAAGGACTTTTGGTACTTCTCTCCAAAAATGTTCACTGCACCACTAATTATACATAAACTTGTTGACAAATGCTGAACTAAAGCATAAAAAGATCACAATCCATTGGATAGTTCCCTTTTTCAAAGTATGTATCTATTCAGAATGAAAGAAGAAATATTTTTTGATGGCTTATGTTTTTATTAAATTTGACTAAAGTCTAAAATGCCAGATCTTTATACCATTATAATTAAAGTTTATAATCCACAACAAAACATGGTCACAATTTAAAACTAGTTGTAAAGTCCATTGTGACTCATAAAAATTCACAGGTATAAATGTAAAAAGTTTTTCAGATAACCTTGTATAACTGAGCTACATAAATTTGTTGAAATATTAAACTTCCTATAACAGCAAACTTAAAAATCCTCAAACTTTGGTTTACACATTAAACTAGCTTGGCAGCATCTTCTGCCAAAGAGTAACACAAGACCATAAATAACATACTTGCAAATAATATCGCACTGACTATTGTATTTAGTCTTTAAGCTATTTAAAAAAAGGCAGAAAACTACACACTTTGAACTATTCATTTTTTAGCACTCCATCCTGTGGAAGACTGTTTTAAGAAAATAACTCCTCCAAGTGGAATGTATGAGCACCAACTTCAAATAGTGTTTGCAAGATAATTCGTCTTTTTATAGGCTTGACGTGCAGACACTGAACTTCAAAATGCCGTGTTATTTTAACTATGTATTGATCATCTTTTTATGGCTTTGTTGGTAAACCTTTACTTGGGTTATATTTTCAGGTATTCTGTCACCAAATGATGAGTTCACTTTCTGGAATGACCGGGCACGACTAGCTCCTGGTCGGGCAGAAAAAGAAAGGTCTGCACATTTCCACAGCTTGTTTGAACCTTTACAAAAAAGTTTTGAAACTCTGGAAACGGTTCCTTTGGTGGAATGTTTAGACATCTTAGAGTTGGCCTTCAGTGTTTTGGATGATGTTTGGAAACAAGAAGAATACACCCCAGCTTTCCAACAGAGTAGAATGAGTCATTTAATGGATATTATTGGTAAGTAAAGCACTATTTATTAGTTATAAATATTATATTTATTATGATCTGATAGTTAACTGTAGCATTTTTTTTCATCCACTTGTTACATTGGTTTTGTATGTTTTTTTGTAATTGTCGGGCCCTGTAACATTGGTGTGTGTTCTGTGTATATCAGGCCCTGTAAGATTGGTGTGTGTTCTGTGTTTATCAGACCCTGTAATATTAGTGTGTGTTCTATACATACCAGGCCCTGTAACATTGGTGTGTGTTCTGTGTGTATCAGGCCCTGTAAGATTAGTGTGTGTTTTATAAGTGTCAGGCCCTGTAACATTGGTGTGTGTTCTGTGTGTATCAGGCCCTGTAACATTGGTGTGTGTTCTGTGTGTATCAAGCCCTGTAAGATTAGTGTGTGTTTTATAAGCGTCAAGCCCTATAACATTGGTGTATGTTTTTGTAAGTGTCAGGCTGTTTAACATTGATGTGTGTTTTATAAGTGTCAAGCCCTGTAAGATTGGTGTATGTTTTTATAAGTGTCAGGCCCTGTAACATTGGTGTGTGTTCTATAAGTGTTGAGCCCTGTAACACTGAAGCTGATTTAACTTTTTTGCGACAGTTCACTAAAAGAATGTAACATTTTGATGATGTAATATTTTTTCATGTACCATGTGATGCTATATAAATTTGTTTTCCTTTATCTCTCCAGTATTATAAAAATTAAGTCGTAGATTGATCTTTTCCCAATTCTTACAATGCTTCGTTACTTTTAATAGGCATACTTTATTATGACTTTTTAATGCTGTACTAAAATGTAATGCTTTTCAAATGATATAACGGTGTATGTGTATGAATGCTCAGAAAGCAGTAAAACACATTTGATAAAACCTTATTCAAGTGGTGTTTCATTGATATTAGTGTATCATTAACGAATACAAAAACTGAAGTAAGCTTTATTTCACTATTCATATTCAAATGGAACAAATTCCATATTTCCTAGGTCTCTACTCTTTTTAGGGTTATTTTTCATGTAATTTGGACAATAACATTTCATATTTACGAACAAACATGAATATTTTTTGTTAACACATTTATAAGGCCTTATTTGGAAAGTTTGACTCTCATAGGCCGTGTACTTAAATACTCTTGAGAGTTAATTGTGCTTGTTAAGGTACTTTGTGTTTGTTGAATGTTGATTGTTCTTACCCAATGAAAGTTAAAGCTTCAAGCTGGTTTGCCCTGTTGTTTTCATGTGTAAGTTTTAACTTAGATAATATGTTAAATTATTTTAAACTTAACTTTTCACATTAATTTTAGGTTTTTTCAATTATCCAGTTGCATTTCTGCTGAAACTAATATGAACCAATGTTTTTATAGGTGTTATAGATGTTTGTATAGGTGTTATAGATGTTTGTATTGGTGTTATAGATGTCTGTATAGGTGTTATAAATGTTTGTATTGGTGTTAGTGATGCCTGTCTAGGTGCTATAAATGTCCATATTAGTGTTAGGGATGACTATAGATGATATAAATGTCTGTATTGATGTTAAATATGTCCATATTAGTGTTATAGATGACTATAGATGATATAAATGTCTGTATTGATGTTAAATAAGTCCATATTAGTGTTAGGGATGACTGTATAATATGGACATATTTAACATCAATACAGACATTTATATCATCTTAAAAGGCCCTCCATTCCATGGATGAGGAGCAAAATTAGGCCAGAAAAGAGTGGTGAGTTTTTGACATATATCCTGCCAGGTATCACAGATGTCAATACCAGACTGAATGTGTTCTTCAACTTCTACAAATGGCTGGGTCCAAAGATTTAACTTACTCAGTTGTTTCTGAATGTGAAGACTAAATAAATTCCCTTTCAAAACCACAGAATATAAAAATTAGAAAAAATTAATATGGTCATCTATAACACTTTCCCACCTACCTTGTCAGGTTTGGAGAAAGATTACAAGAGGTTGGTAAACAGTTTCTATGGTTTTTATGTAATAACATAAGGTATTTTAAGGGTTTGAATAACATGTGACATGTATTGAAACTTTATACATAAATAAAAGTGTTATGTGTAGACAGTTTTTGTTTAATGGGTAAGTACTGGGTGTTGCCAAAATATAGTAGAAATCTTAAAATTAATTGTGAGATATTTTGAAAATTTTATACTTTGAATTGTACAAATTTTATAACAAACTTTTCTTTAGTAAAACCAGGCTATGAGAACATCTTATTTCTGACACAGACTTTTTAATTTTTTTCAGATTCTGACTCTGAGGAAAGTTCACAGTCAGCTGTCAAAACTTCTTAACATTAATGAGCAAAAAGACTTAAATATGGATAATTCCTTCAAAGGTTTTGAGAAAGTTAATCCCCTTCAGTACAATCCATACACTGACATTCTTTGGAAGACAGCTGTTGCACAGCATGAACGAGAACTAGCAACAGCTGAACACAGAGTTGCTGAAAAACTTAGATCTCATCTTCACACCATCCAAAACAATGCACTTCAGGTAAGTTATCTTGGATCTATAAGGAACAGTAATGTAATTATGTGTGCAATACAATTGTAGCAATGATGTAATTATGTGTGCAATACAAACCTAGATGTAACAATTGTAATTGTGATGTAATTACATGTGTAATACAAACCTAGATGTAACAATTGTAATACTGATGTTATTACATATGTAATACAAACCTAGACATAACAATTGTAGCAATGATGTAATTACGTGTGCAATACAAACCTAGATGTAACAATTGTAATATAAACCTAGATGTAACAATTGTAATACTGATGTAATTACATATGTAACACAAATCTAGACATAACAATTGTAGCAATGATGTAATTACATGTGCAATACAAACCTAGATGTAACAATTGTAATACTGATGTAATTACATATGTAATACAAACCTAGACATAACAATTGTAGCAATGATGTAATTACATGTGCAATACAAACCTAGATGTTGTTATGTCTAGGTTTGTATTGCACATGTAATTACATCACAATTACAATTCTTACATCTAGGTTTGTATTGCAAACATAATTACATCATTACAACAATTGTTACATCTAGGTTTGTATTGAACACGTAATTACATCATTGCTATAATTCTTATATCTAGGTTTGTATTACAATTGTTACATCTAGGTTTGTATTGCACATGTAATTACATCATTACAACAATTGTTATTGTAGCAATGATGTAATTACATGTGCAATACAAACCTAGATGTAACAATTGTAGCAATGATGTAATTACATGTGCAATACAAACCTAGATGTAACAGTTGTAATATTGATGTAATTACACATGTAATACAAGTCTAGAAGTAACAATTGTAGCAATGATGTAATTACATGTGCAATACAAACCTAGGTGTAACAATTGTAGCTTTGATATGTTTACCTGTTCTCTGTATATATAGGAAAAAATAGTTTAAAATGTTACAGTGAAAGTTTGGTGAATGTATTTGTTATAAAGATCGTGCTGATGTTAATACTAATTATTAATGATTGATTAATAGTTTATTTATTGAAAAAGTATTTCTAGTGTTTTATAAGTTATCTTAAGATTTCTGATAAGGGTAACAACCATAAGGCACAAGAACAAAATACAGATGTTTGTATATTTCAGCTTATGCAGGAATTCAAAAGATATGAAGAGCTTGTGAAACGTCCAAGTATAAAAAATGAGCTGACCCCTGAAAGGTAACTATGTTCAAGTATAAAAAATGAGCTGACCCCTGAAAGGTAACTATGTCCAAGTATAAAAAATGAACTGACCCCTGAAAGGTAACTATGTTCAAGTATAAAAAATGAACTGACCCCTGAAAGGTAACTATGTTCAAGTATAAAAAATGAACTGACCCCTGAAAGGTAACTATGTTCAAGTATAAAAAATGAACTGACCCCTGAAAGGTAACTATGTT